GGTAGTCAGGCATTGGAACAGGCTGCCCAGGGAAGTGGTTGAGTCTCCATCCCTGGAGGTATTTAAAAAATGGATAGACGTGGTGCTTGAGGACATGGTATAGTGATTGACTTGGTAGTGCTAGGTTAACGGTTGGACTCGATGATCTTAAGGGTCTTTTCCAACCTTAACAATTCTGTGAGTCTATGATTCTAGTCACATACAGCTTCAACACCTAGGTATTAAATGAATATCTTTCCTGTTACATGTGGCTTTCTCCTTGCAATAAAAATTTCAGTACTAGAAAAAGTTCTTGATAATCTAAGTTTTGTACCTAGATGCTGAATATGATGGTGTATTCCTAACTACCTTTCTCTTTTGCTTAGGCCAAGTACACAGAGTATGAAAGAATATTGCAAGATAAGTAGAATAGTCTCAGGGTTTTTATTAACAAAAGAAAAAAGTAACAGGAACAAAAGATGCTATCAGTGGTGTAGGAGTGTTCAGAATGGATTTTTCTGTCTAGCAAATCAAAAGTAACATGTAACTATGTCCCATGGGTACCAACTTTCAAAATACTGGACAATTCGTAGTGATTTCTTTTGGTAAAATGCACCTGGAATGATGAAACAAAAAAGTTCCTGGTTTAACATTTTCTTAATGAAGGAGTTAGGGGAATGTTGCTATTCCTTTTTACTTACTTAGGGCCAAATTCAGTTCTACAGATCCGAGTATGCTCCAATTCCTTTTGTATTTGATGGAAAAACAGTAAAACAGAGTAAAATAAAACAGTAAAACTAGGAGTAACCAGGCAGGAGAATTTACTAAATTATAATCTAGTAGGAAGCGTTTTCAAGACCAGCCGGATCAGCAGGATTTCAACATACTAACCTGTATGCAGTGAAGTCTCAATATATAAAGCTTCTGTGTTCGTAATTTATGACTAAACATATCATTATGTGCATAAATCTTTATATACTGGGACTTCAGGGCAGAAAACTTATCTATGTATAACTTCTGCAGTATTTCTCAGACTTTGTTATCTTAGTTTTGTACGATGCTTCAGACAATAGAATTTTATGCAAATTTTCATTTTAATTTTAAATTTTCATAAGCAGGTAACTGCAAATAGAAATTATTGCACCCCTTACTGAGTTTGTTGATCATAGGAAGGCACTAAGGTTTCTATAATCTATAAGAGAAAGTCTTAAAATTCTTTTCTGCCAGAAATTCTCATTCCTGCAAACACCAGCTAGAGTGGGATCAGCAAATAATGTATAGATTATGTTCTGTAGGCCCTCCAGTCCCAGTTTGTCAAGGGAATATCTCATCAGTTGCTAGAGAGATGAAAGCAGTAGGAACGAGGAAAAGAGAGGGAAGAAAAAGTCAGATATTTCTGCACTGGACTTCTCCCTTTCTCTGCACTCAATGGAAGATTATATACTCATCTTTTTCCCCGATTTTGAGATGGATTTTAAAATATCACTGTGTCTATCCTCTCCTAGTCTTCCCCCCATGCACAGACTAGTAAGACTTTTTTCAACTGCTTGTCTTTTTATTGAAAGTTGAGATGTGACGTTCACATTTCTTCACATGGCAGAATTTTATCCTCTCTTTTTTTTTCCTTCTGCTTTATTACTTTACTCTTATTCATACTGAATTTATTTTGCAAATGCATTCATACACATTGTCTGGGAGTCTTAAAGTTTCTGTTTTCTTTTTTTTTTTTTTTTTCTCTTGAACTGTAAATTCTCTTAAATGAACTATTTCTGATTTTAAAAATTGTCAAAAAAACAGAACATGGCCTTCCTGCAACACCTCGTGGAAGGGTTTGATTCATTTTTCAGTTATGTCATAGGAGTGATAGTAAAAATTACCAGTTAACATCAAAAATCTTTTACTTGCTGAAATTTTTCATTTCTGCAAGGAAAATAGTTTTAACATCGAGAGTGTAATCTGGATGCCATGTCCATATTCTCTATTTATTTTCTCTTCATTTTGTATGGTAACTTTATCATCCACAGATCAGTCCACGATACTTTTAGCCAATTCATATGCTTCTGGGTGGATTTTCCATTGCTGGGACTTGCAATCCAGCTTGTATCAGAAAAAAATGTAGGAGCAAATAAAACCTTAGGAAATAATATTGCTGCTGTGCTTCTTTTGTTCTCTTAATAACTGCTTGAATAAGCATAAACAGCATTAAAATGCCTTTTTTTTCAAATATCAGATTATTAGGTGTACTCATTGTTTGTTGCAAAATGTGAATCAATGAATTTAGATCATTGTAAGTCATTCAGAAATAGAACTACAGCATTGAATGCTAGCTTTTTCATGGGTATAAAATTTTAAATGTTTAATTTAACAGCAGCAGTATGCAATGTTGGTCATTCCACATTGATCCTTACTTGTGTCATTACCATTTTTAAGACAAGATAATAAAGTATAACAAATACAAATATTGCAGTAGAAAGACCAAAGGCCCTGTAATCTGTCTACTCCACAACTATTTGTGCAAAATTTTGCAAATCACCAAAAGTAAGTGATACTGTTGAACTGAATCACTATTAACTGCATGCTTCTAATGCAATCCTAGTAAACTTAACTAATTGTAGATAGGATTAGCCTATGCTTTATGGTTTCTATCTATGAATTCCTCAGTTAATTCATTTTTTAAGTGCTTCAAATGAACTAGAACTGTATGTGTACAAATCTGGTCCCTAGAATATATAAATAATACATGAAGAATAGTTGGTACTGCCTATATTTAGACCAACAGAAAGTGTGGAAATGAAATGCAAATCAGTTTAATTAAAAAGCAGCCTGTCAGATCAGAAGATGGCTTAAACTGGGTCCAAAATTGTTTCTCAGAATCTAATGTTATTTATGTTGTTCTTGTTAAATATTTATAGGCAGTGTAACACTGAAAATATCCCCAAAAGATTATAGTATACACTTACACTTCCCCAGGCTCTTGTGGGAACTCACTTTCCTTCTTCCATCTTACTGAAGAAATGTGTCAAGTACAGGGTTTTGCAGAGTTTCAGCATAATCAGGATGGTCTGAAACAGTGTGGCTTAGGCCCCTACATGCACAAGAGGGTAGAAAAGAGGTTGTTTTCCTTTCTCTCTGCTTCTCCTATAGTCCTGTGTAAATAGAGTTTAGCTCCTAGTACAGAGCATCATTCTTTTCTAAGCATAGAAGATAAAAGCACAAGTTCTTGCAACTTAAATACTTTGAGGCCAGCTTTTCCCACCTTTTATTCTGGAATAAAGGGAAAGCCTAGTGTTTTGTAATTAATGGTCCTTTCTGTGTTTTACTTCCATGCTGGCACAGCAACCCTTTAATATTACCTTTATTCTCGTGATAAGCTCTAGATATATAAGAAGAAATTAAAGAAATAAAGAATAAATTGAAAGAAATTCCAGAAGAAAAGATATGTTTTCCAAGAGTATAAAGAGTATAAAATATCCTATCCATGCGTTCCTTCAGCTCCTTCACAGTTGATCATAGTACATGAAATAGTCAAAAGGGCAGCATCTCTCTAAAGGATGCTGAGATTTTTTTTAAAAGGTATCAAGTTAATTAAAATGCATTTTATTACTCAGCCAAAGGAAATACTGTAAAAATTATAGCTAGTAAGTAGCATTATTATGACAGAAAGAAAAAGAGGAGGGATTCGTTGTAGAATTGCATTCATATCACATGAAAGAGGGGATGCCATGCCTTTTCATCGTCTCTTTTTATTTCTTGGGATTTCTTAACCACTTTAATGAAGAGTCTTTTGTTCCTGTTTTCGAAGGAGAAGAAGAAAAATTATGGCTTTGTTCTCTCCTTAAACATTACACAAATCTTAACATAGAAAGCACTTCTAACTGATGTGATTTACTCTCTAACATTCAGAAAAGAAAAGCTTTCTCCATTAGCATTATTCATTAATTAATGTAGATTTTAAAATACTCATTGAAAAGTCCTTATGCACTATATAAAGAAAAAGAGAGTAGATGACATACAAAGATATGACACTACCCTTTGAACTGCCTCTTGAAATATTGAAATGTTCAAAAGCTGCAAAATTATCATGTCATTTTAAAATACTGAATTATGAGAAAGAAATACATTAAAATATGAAAATTTACATCCCTGTTATCCAAACATACTTAACCTTATCTTTCTGCATTGCTACCCGGTACTGTTAATAAGTAAGTGCATGCTTGGAAGGTATCTTAAGTGCCTTACAATCTATCAAATAAAGAGTTTTGTGGCTTGGTCCTGAAGCATACATTGTTGTTTCTTCTTTTAATAAAGTAATCGTATAGTGTTTGTTACATATCAGACCTTGGATTAGCTTTAGGGTAACAAGCTATAAAGCAACAGCCTGTAGATTTATGTGTATTGGACTAAATCTAATGCAGCATAATTAAAAGCCTGATGGAAATTGAAAGATTAATACTATTTGGCTGGATATAATAGTCGGGCATGAAGATGTTTGAGACCATGGGACTAAGTGTGATAGGACTTGTTGCATCAAGTTTCCTGGTTTACAGGCAACACCAGCTGGATCAAGTTTTGTGCTTATGTATTTACATGTGTGTGTGTGTGGGGGGGGGGGGGGGGGGTGTTTTTTTGGTTCAGGTGGGCCGGGGGGGGGGGCGGTTGTATTTATGTGACCAGTGTGACCGTGGTAAGAGGTTAATGGCTTTTCAGTAAATGTTATCTTTGTAGAGGATATAGTTTTTCCTGTGACATTATGTTATATCTTATTTCTGTCAGGAGTAACTAACTTTCCTTAAAATATAACCCATGCAATATATGTTCCCTGTGGTCTCTTTAGGTTCTCCGTACAGAGACAAGATCACTATAGCAATTCTTCAGCTGCAAGAGGAGGGCAAGCTCCACATGATGAAAGAGAAATGGTGGAGAGGCAATGGCTGCCCAGAGGAGGAAAGTAAAGAGGCCAGTGCTTTGGGAGTTCAAAATATTGGAGGAATCTTCATTGTGCTGGCAGCAGGATTGGTGCTTTCTGTCTTTGTGGCAGTGGGGGAGTTTTTGTACAAATCAAAAAAAAATGCCCAGTTGGAAAAGGTAAATATTGTCTTTTACTATTTTATTTTATATTTGTGATCTATTTAAATAATACTTTAAGCATTTGGTAGCAAAATGTAGGTGATGCATACTGATTGTTTATTGCATAATAGAGTACTTGTATAACAAAGGATCACAACAAAGTACCCAAAGTTTTACATTTACAGCTTTTAATTTGTCTTCAATGTGTTTAATTGTAGCCAGATTTCAGGACAAGTGACTATTTCTCCTCTTATTCAAGCCTGAAAAAAGACAGCTTTTTACTCCTGGAAGTTCACTGCAGTTAATTTTATGGATGAAGAAGAAATCCGAAACTGTAATGGGAAACAAATTAATCTTCTACAGATAATTCTGGTTTTCAAAAGACAAACTGTAGCTCAAAGTCAAAAATCTAAAAATGTCTCTATAGAAATGTTCTTTACAGAAATTTATACTTGCAAAGTTGTCCTGGTAGCATCTGGAAAAGATTACATCAGCATGATTTTTTTTGGTGGGTTTACTACTGATATGATGTCCTGTCATTTCAAACTGACTCAGTTTTGAAAATTCTAGTGTTAATTTATTCTGTACTTGCAATTTATACAACCACAATACTGTAATTGTGCCAACACTAGTAAAATTCTTGTGAAATTCCTGGTTGGAATTATCATTTTTGCAAAATAAATAAATCTCTATATATGTGCCCATGTTTAAACTGAAACTCAAACTATATATTTTATTATTATGAAATATTCTGAATTTTAAAAATTCAGAGAAACTGTTGGATTTTACTAGGTCTTTTTCTTTTTTTTCTTCTTCTCCTTTTGAGGAGCTTGTGACCCATGGCAATTTCTATATTTCTATTTAGTAATTTAATTTAATAAAATCAGTAGTAAATCCAACCGCTATATTTATATCGGTATTTTTCCAGATGCTACTAGTGAATTTTTGTAACTTGAATTATTATTCAGAAAATTTACAATTTGTTTTCACTTCTTTTGAGGCAACCTTTTGGTATGCAAGTGTCCTGTTATAAATATATTGTTAAAGAAGTTTTTTTTTCCTCATACACACAAAGGCAGAGTGAGGTCACAAGGTCTTAAACACAGTTTGAACATGGGTACATTTTATTAAATTGTTAAAGGACCATTTAGATCCTCTTCTCTATGATACTACAGGCTGATTCCTTTCTGTTAACATACTATTGGAATGTTATGTTCCTGAAATGAATTTGTGAGGAAAAAGATACCAATTACTTAAGTAACCCATGTAAGTCTCAATAATATTGATCTATTCCTAAGATGGATATGGATTTCGTATGGACATCAGTATAATTTGGTTTAACTTTTCTGGATTTTCAACAAACACTCACTTAGAAAATTAGGACTGTTATGAAAATAATCTTGTAAGATGAGTTCAGTATTTTGCAGGGTGTGAATGAGTATCTTATGTGACAATAACAGCATGTTGGAAGTTACATGAGGAAGCAAACAGAAACTTCTTAATTAAGGACTTGTTTCTTTAAGTCCTATGGTTTTGTGGGTTTGTTTTTTGGGTTTGTTTTTTTTAATTTGCTTCTTTTTTATTTTTGTTTGTTAATGATGGATAGCAATAGCAATGACTGAGGTATCTGACCTTTTAACAGTACTTGTACCAGAAATGTCTCATCATATCATCAAGCATTGAGATACTTTAAACTGAAGCAGCTGAAAGAGTCAGGTCTCTCTCCTCTCTTTCCTCCTTGCCACCAGTCCCTTCCCTTCCCTTCCCTTCCCTTCCCTTCCCTTCCCTTCCCTTCCCTTCCCTTCCCTTCCCTTCCCTTCCCTTCCCTTCCCTTCCCTTCCCTTCCCTTCCCTTCCCTTCCCTTCCCTTCCCTCCCCACTACACCCACATACCCTGATGTCAGGAGAACAGTAAAATTTCACTAAAACTTTACTTATGGAATGAAATTAACAGAAAATGATGCCAGCACCCCTACACATGGCGTACCCCAGCATCCCCTCATCCACTCTTCTCTCAGCACCCACAGACCTTCAGTGAACATCTTCCATCCTCTCCAAATGTAGCAGATCCCCTTTGCGTAGGAGAGGGAGTAGAAGCAGCCAAAGGGGAGATAAGCAGTACTGTCATCTGTCTCCAGTCTCTACATCTCCTCTGCTGGGATGTGTAAACCATGCAGGTTGTGTAAACCATGGCTATCCCACAGGGAGAGAGGAGGCACCTATTTTTGGTAACATTTATAGTTTCATCCCTTTAGAATCAGAGCATCATTCTGGTATTTGTATAATGCTTGTAAACACTTAGAGAGAGGGAAGATCAAAGATCATATTAACAACCAATGAAATAAAAGAGATCAGGTAACTTCAGCTGCTGAATGTATGGCGTATCCTGGGATATAAATGGGCATATTAATATGTGTGTCTGCTTTTTAGTGTATACAAAATATACAATTACACTTCTAGTGGGGAGGCAATGCAGATTTAAAGTGTATAATCTAGATATGTTTTTTTAGCATTTTCAGTGTCACCCCACTCCTGGAGTGCACACATAAACAGAGACATTGGCTGGTGTGAACCTAGTTGGAGGATTGAAATCTTGAAAGGAACTAAGCTCAGAAAAACAGCAGACAAAATTGTGTTATTTGCTAAAATCTGTTGCATCTTATAACCAAAGTGGTTCAGAACATCCATGCTCCTGATGTGCTCAAAAATCCAAAGGAAACATGTGACACTAGCTGTAGTCTTTCTGGGAAACAGATGTCAATAAGCAGAATACCACACATGAATTCATGCCATCACAACACTTTCCAGACACAGAGAAATTCCTCTTTTATTGACACCTTTCAAAAGCAAAGATAAGTCTGGATGTTATCACAGTTTGACTGTTAGTCACTGACACTTACTATGGCTCGTTTGTTTGAAAAATGAGTGTCCTAATTTACTAGGTGTTTTCTAGAAGATCCAGATCTGATGGATGTGAAAAGAACAATATATGGATTTAATTGTGCTGTCATTTATAGCCATTCAAAACTCATTGAGCCATCAGCAGGTCAGAAGTAGGTCTGCTTGTGAAAAAATAGCAGATGTACATTTTATTAATTTTGAACTGTTAATTACTTCAAAAAATGTGAAATGAGACACATGTCATTGTACCTTAGCTGTTTGTTTCACTAGGGGAGATCTGGTAATAGACTTCCTATAATACAAAATACTAGAGTAAATCTTAGACCATACTGAAACACTAACACCAACAAAGTATTTCTGGAGTTGTATGATCAAATCATAACCTAAACATCACTTAAATTAGCCTCCCTGAATAGTTATTTATTTATAATTGATTATAAACCCAATGAAAACAATAACTAAATTGATACTGGTTTGTATTTTACGTATGTTTCCCAAGGAAGACAAAGCCAATTGAACTTTCCATGGTAAATAATTCACTCCTCAGCTACACAGTTGAGTTGAGAAAGATCAGGCTGGATAGTTTATCTCACAAGGTACAATGAATGAGCAGTTAGCAGGACTGGACCCAAAGCAGACATCAGTAGCTGTGAATATATATGTGTGTTACATACAAAACAGTGTTTTATTTACAGCTGCAGATTCTATTGAACAAGAAATTCTGAATGCTGAACTGTGACCTGTATATGAGTCTATGTCTTGGAAAATGGCACAAGCGTAACTGGTTGACTCTTGCCCAAAATAAATTGTTTACAAAAATTTCAAACACTTTCTGAAAAATGCACAAACCACGTTTTGGTTTTGATAATGTAAGGATAACAGGAATAGAAGTTTCTGATCTTAGCTGGCTCAAAAATTCATGCAGCTTTACTGAGCTGCAGAGGCTTTAGGTTATGGTAGTATTTGATCTTAAACTTATTAGAAATTAAGTGTGGTTTTGCTACAGTTGCCAATAATTCTGGATTTGCTGTCTACCTCAAACACACATTTGAGTAATGTGATAACCTGGGGTGTATTTTGAACTACATAACTCCTCTAGTCCTACTTAGTATGTGGTCTCACTGTTTTTTTTCAGAGGGAGTATCGGGAATGACAAAGCATTGTCCTTGTGTATGTCAGAATTTTGACATCCCAGTTGACACATCGGGAAAGGGTAGGAGGAGATGACAGGTTGGAGGCTGTCCCGACTGCATTCCT